ACCTCTTCAAGGTGGTAACGGTAGCCTCTTCTTTGAGTTTTAGGGGGCTTCCGCATCATTTCTTGATTTCCTTTCATCTGGCCATCTGTAATAGTCTCTTCAGTAGAATAATTTCAGTTGAACCCTTGTGCATATGCTATCTGTTTCCTGCCCAGATACCATCTGACCAGGTGCGAGGAAGACGTGAGGAGTTAGTCTTTCCTCACCTAGGTGCAGGGTTTAATTACAGCCCTCTGACTGGTCACTGGGATCCCCTGTGGGACCCAAGCTCTTTACACTGAGCAGAGAACCTCAAACAGAAAAGAAAGTAAACACCTTCTGTTCCCCAGTCAGAGGTCTCAACCTAACTTGACAGCGGTCACATTTGCTGAGCCCCTGAATTCCAGATTTGACTTGCCCACCTAGCCCTGAAATGCTCACCTGCTCCTCCAGACTCTGGACTCTACCTTCCCGCCTGGTTCCAAAGGGCTCACTGCCTCCTTGCTATTCTGATTCTTGGCCTTAAGCCCTCACCAGCCTGGTACCATAGGTTCTGTTCTGCCCTGACCAGCATGTCCCGTCCTGCTTTAGCCCAAGTCCTGCCTGGTGGTCACCATGGGGGGAGTTTCTATAGAGAAGTATCACCTCTGAAAGTCAGCATCTTACACTACGTTATCTTTCTGGTTTGAGGGCTTAGCTAGCAAAATCAAAAGGGAGAATTACCTGATATTTCTTAAAAATTAGTTTAATTACTGAGGAAAGCAGTGAAAATTAGAAAGATTTTCTCACTGACTATAATTAATACATTGGAAGAAAGAGAGGGACTAAATTGTGATGAAATGAGCTATGGTAGAAAATAAATCTGAGTTTTACTAAATCAACTTGCAAGACTCAATTGGTCTTACTAAACTTTATGTTCCATTTTAAAATGAAAAATACGGTGAAAAGGACTAGCAAGAACTCCAAAAGCTAAGAACTGAATATGAGCCTATATCATGTCACATCGACCCATTTTAAGCTCCTCCTTGCCTTGCAATTTCCCATGATGCAGGACAGGGCCCCAGCAGGGCAGAGGCATGGGAGGGGCTGCGATGGCAGAGCAAGCTATCAGGACTTGCAAACCCAGTGGATCCTGAGGGTAAGTCAGACCTCAAGAAACCAGAGTGGTCTGGCTACCCGGTGCACATTCTCCCCACTTAGAGACTTTCCAGCTAACCTTGGAGGCTCGGAGTTTGACTTCACGAATGGAGATGGCAGGCTGCCCCTACAGAAGTAAATGACGATGAAGGCAGGGCTGCGACTAGTACCCCCAAATACATGCAATACTACCCATTCTGCTAGAGGCAGCCCCAACCTAATTCATTTGGTCAACAGTCAATTCAGTTCTTTTAAAAGCAACACCAGCGTATCCTAGAAGCTTGTTAAAAATCCAAATCCTCAGGCCCCACCCAAGGCCTACTAAATCAGAAACTCTGGAAGTGGGGCCAAGCAATCCACATTTTAAAAAGGCTTTCAGGTAGTTCTGATGTACACTAGAGAATACTGACTTAGAGAACAGACAAAAATGACTTTTTTCACAATAGTTCTACCCCTCCCCCAAATAAATTACTACCAAAATTATTATTTGTTATCATTAATTATTTACCAGAAGGTTGGAAAAATATTTATTTTCCCTTTATATACAATCAATTTGGGATTATCCTCACTGATTCAGAAAGCCATGGAATGGATAACATAGACGTCATTAATCAGTGACTTAGGCACACCCTCTTACAAAAGATTCACCATCCTCATTAGGCTTTGCTTGCCAAACTTCATGGATAGTCACTGAATCCCTAGCATCTACAACAGAGTTGGGCACAAATACTGGCTGAATGAATAAACGAGTGCAATGAATGGAGGAGAAAGAGGGAGCTGCTGATGCTGCCTATCAACACAGAATCATTTGGAAACTAGTGATGTCCTGTGCCTGACCCACAAAATAGTTACCCACCCAGAGATGGCTGCAAGTTGACTATATTATCAATACTCGTCTCTACAGCTGGCTGCCTAGTCCTGGCTGCCTCCCAGCTGCAACAGCTGGTACGAGAAAAGACGACTCGTAAGAACCCCCCACACACACCCCCAGTCTTCCCGGAGAGAGGTTCAGCCATCCCCCCTGAGGATTTCTGAACAGGAATTATACAACTGGCACATTATGATGAGTGAGCATTCTGCAGGAGTCTCCTGTTGGAGTACTATTTTTAAAAAGGCAAACAAGAGGGAGACAAATTACAAGGAAGTTGCATTTTTATAGCAATCGGGAGAAAAAGCTAACTTCTTACCAGAAATGGAAACCCATATGATATCACTGTACTGCCTATGAATTATTAATGTTTATAATTTTTTTTATAAATTAGTATTCAGGAAGGTTCCTGTTGACGTCATGTTTGACATCATAATGCTTCATCATTCTAAAAGCTTAATGAGATGAATTATTGCTAGAAAAAAGGAGAGAGAGATCAAGCACACATTTTTGCACCCTGGGGAATACCAGAGACCAAGTAGATAATGAGAATATGGTTTATAGTTGATGTACAAAGAGGAAATTAAAAAAAAAAAAACTATTATGACCCACCACCACTGTAAACAGGACCAAATGGCAAGGACTTTATTTTTTTCCCCTGAGCATTTTGGAAAAGGGGGATGGAGGGGGGGCAGGCATGACTAGCAACTATCTCAAACTGTTAAGGCAGAAGAATTCTCATTCTAAAAAGAAATGCAAGCAAAGTTTTTATAAAATTGCCTCATCCTCAAAAGAGTATGGAACATGTGAAGATTGAAAAAGATAACAATGAATCACAAGTCCTAAAAGGGTACTATTAAATATATTAAGGCAATTCTGTGATAATAATTCTGTATGACTTGTATAAATAATAACTCTGGTCTCAAATGTAATTTCAAATATATAGTTTCTGAGATCTACACATGCAAATTAGTGTTGAATCACTGAACCAGCAGTTTCATTCCCAACATTCTTAGTAAAAGGTTGGAATGAATTAAGCTCTTATTTGAAAGTCCTTTTGATAAAGCAGTGTGAGTTAAATTCTTATTTAGGTCAAGCCTTTAACACTTCAGCCAAGTAGCAATGATATTTCTACAAGTTTATACTAGCTGCTAATAATTGGGACTCATTTTCCCTCCAGTTTTTCCTCCATTTGCTAAGTAGCCTCTTGAGGGAAGTATTAAAACATGGAGAATGAATTCATTCATTATTCCTTCTTTCAATACACAAACATGGAATATCTAGAGTTGCCAGGTATTAAATTAGGTCTTGCTACTCTAAAAGGCAGAAATATACAATTTCTCTTACACAATCAAAAAAAAATTATCACAGAGTTCATAAGTTGTCACCATTCTGAACTACTTCAAGATCTTCAAATTGCCTTTTCAACAAGAAAGCAAAAGGTTATTTTTTAAAATAACATCCCTAATTATTCCACGAAATATATCATTTTAATCCCCTAAAATTGCTTCTAATGCTTTTTTCTTTCTTCCTTCCTTCCTTTTGTGTGTGTGTGTGTGTGTGTGAGAGAGAGAGAGAGAGAGAGAGAGAGAGAGAGAACCAGTGTGGGGGGAAAAAAGCTTGACAAAAGAAAAATACAGTGTTTGGCACATGCCTCTATAACAAATGTTCAACTGGTAAGTTGTACTGTCACGAATCCAGGGCTCTGGTCTTTGGATATTTTATCATCACACAGTTAAGATTCAAAAGCTAGAAGAGAAAGCTTATACCTGGTACATAGTAGGTGCTTAGTAAAGGGTCTTTTTTATTATCATGATTATTGTATTATCGTGTTATATGACTATTACCAGAGAAACACTGCAACTATAAATAAACTCAGGTAAGCTTCATGTAACAAAATCCAATAAAGGCTAGGTGCCTATTCACCCTCGGCCAACTGTTGAACAAGTTTTCAAGTACTAAACATACAATTTTCTTTGCCACATAATCAATGCAAAGGTTCCTGGTAATCTATTGACCATGTAAAAGCTGTGATTCTAAATAACATTCAGAGTCATAGGGATGTATTTTTTTCCCATGGGATGTGCCACTGTCATTCTGTTTCCTATAACGATAAAAGGCCCAGTGGCCAGACTCACACAATGAAAACCCTCTTGAATTTAATAGTATTTTGATAACATACAGGAGGGCACTATTAACACAATCGTTTTTCTTTTGCCATTAAGATATTGCTAGTGACTGCTTTAATAATTTAAACACTTTTTTTTCCGCTTCCTCAAAATTCCACTCTCCCGTGAGATGAGAGGTATGTTCAGAATCTTCATCCTCAGACAGCTGCACTGCACTGGAAACCACGGCCCCTCACTGTAGCTCAGCTGACCCTCCAAATTCACAGCCAGGTGCCCTCAATTATGCCCAGGATGCGGTGAACCCAAAGAAGTGACAAACAACAGGTTCCACTCTGGTCCTCTTCCTCTATTCCCTTCCTACCTCTGTCCACACGACACAAACACCCTCATTCATTCACAAATCCCCACCACATCGCTGCCCGTGGCTAAGACTCCGTGCAGCCTGGCTGCCTTTCCCAGGTAAAAAGCTGAATCCTCGCCCCGGGTCTGCACCGGGTCTCACCTACGAGGCGGGCCAGTTCGAGCCGGGGGCTGAGATTTCGTGCAGCAGCCACGGCAGGCTCTCCGTGAAACCCAGCCCACCTCCCGAGTTAACGGAACCACAGCCTGCCTTCCCTCAGTGAGAAACGGGGCCAGCCCACCGGCCTCCCACGGCGCTCCCTTCTCCACCGGCCCCCCAGAAGCAGCTCCCAGGACCCCTCCAGGGGTCTCCTCTGCTCACGCTTCCCGGGCCCTCACCGCTCCCACACATGAAAAGTAAACTCCTCCTTAGTGACAACCTCCCAAGCCAACCGCGTCACGGCCACTCAACTCCGCCGGAGCCCCCTACTCAGGCCAGCCCCGCCCGGACGGGGCGGGCAGCCCCCCACCAGCCTGAGCCGGTTTACCTTGACGCTGGTGTAGCTGGTCTGGGTCTCGGCCTCCGCGCTGCTGCAGCAGTGCCGCCTCCGGCCCCTGCAGGTGGTCGCGGCGGGGGCTGCGGAGCCCGCGCTGCCGCTGCTGCTGCTGCCGCCGCTGCCCAGCTCGGCGCGGGCCCTGCGGACGCGAGTGGCGCCCGGGGGTCCCGACGCGCGGCTCGGGAGAATAACGTCGGCGGCGTCGGTCTGGACGAAGAGGCCGTGCAGGGGGGCCGCGGGGCCCTGCGACACGCTGGTGGTCTGGCGGGGCGAGTTGGACTCGTCCGAGTCCCGGCAGTAGATCACGCCGCTCTGCGAGACGTGGATGCTGGGGGCGCAGCCCATCCCTCAGCCGGGCTCCCCCGCGCGCCCGCCCGGACCCGGGGCACCCGCGGCCACCTGCAGTGAGGGGGCGGGCGCCTCGGCGGCGGCGGAGGCACCCGGACTGCGCGCCCCCCCGCCACCCACCCCCACCCCCCCGGCCTGCCTGGCTGCCGCTCCGTCGGGCTCGCCGCGGCGGCCCCCGCCGAGCCTCCGGGGGCTGCTCGCGTCACCCCAACTTTCCCTTCTGGGCCATCTTCCTCCCCGAGAGGGAGAGCGCGCACACACAGCGCCCCGCGCGCACCGGCGGCCGCCACCCTCCCTGCCGCGGCGCCCCAAACACGCTCCCCGCGCCTCCGCCTTCCCCTCCTCCCTCGGCTCGGCCCGCGCCGCCGCCCAGCTCGACCTGGCCGGGCTCCCGCGCCCGCGGCCCCTGGGCCAGGGCGCCCGCCCGCCTACACCTTCTTTCCCCACTTTCGGTCCGCGCGCGTCCCCCTCCCGCCCTCGCTCCCGCCCTCCTTCCTCCCCGGGAGCCCCCGCTCCGCGGCCGCGGCCGCTCGCGCCCCACTGCGCCCCTCCCGGCCCCGCCCGGCGCTCCCCGAGCTCTCCCCGGCTGGGCGAGTGTACCCGCCGCTCGGCTCGGCCCGCGGGGCCCGGGCGCGCTGCAGCTGGCACCACGCCTCCGCGCCCGCCCTCCTCCGCCGCGGTCCGAGGCCTCGTCCCTTCTGCACGCGCTGCCCCTCGCCGCACGCACCCCGGGCCGGCCCTGAGGGCTGGGAAGCCCTGGGGAGCCCTGCAATATGCCTCTCGCCCTTCACGAACACATTTTACCACAGCCTGAGCAAAAACACCAGGACGCCCCTCCCCAACAGCCCAAGCCCACCCAACTGACTAGCTCTCCCCTTGGCACACTCAGGGAGTTAGGGAGAGACCTCATGCTTCCGTAGTCGGCCCATCACTTCCCCCACGTACTCTGAGGGCTGAGTCGTCACAAGTCCATTCCATGTCTAACCTCAACGTTTGGAGGTTCATGCCAAGGGATGGGACACCCTGCAGAGGAAGGAACCCTTAAACACACAAATTCCCCTAAGATCCATGCAAGGAACGGAGGAAGCTGTCCTGTGGTTCTAGGCTTTCCCCTCCAGAGATTTCACCTCCTGCTTGGATGTCACCTAATTTTCACCCTGGCTTCACCCCCATCCAGCCTCCTGCTGTCAAGGCCTCTTCCTCATACTCTGGGCTGGGCATTCAAAACTGCCTTCCCTTACTTGTCCGAGTGAGGCATACATGGGCCACGCTTGAGTAAGAATACCTTTAGAAGCAAGGCTGCCATTCAGTCTCCCCATGATATGGAATGTGGATTCGAGATGCGAGACAGCACTGCCATTTATTCATTGGCTCTTTTAGTGATTCCTGCCTGCTGCCACAGTGGCAGAGGGGACAAGTGGGGTGGTCTAAGAAAGGACTCCATCTAGAGTTGTTTACAGGGGCAAGGGCAAGAACACAGAGTCCTAATGCCAAGGACAAAGAAGTACTCAATTTGAAATAATTTCTTTGCTTCTTCCCTTCCTTTCTCTCTCCATACTATCAACTTTTAGAGTGGCTGAAGACTTCAAATGACAGCTCCTAACCATTATAGAAAAGCAAGATGTCACCCCATATCCCAAATGCAGATATGGAGAGGAAAAAGAACTAGTCTAACCTAATTCTATCTTTGTTTCTCTGCTTCTCAGTTTAGTACTCCAACCTTCCAACTTTTGTCTTTTTTTTTTTTTTTTTTTTTTTTTGATGGCATGAAGAAGTCTGTCTTTGGTTATTGCAAAAAAAGACTATGCTGTATTTCTAATGGACAGGCAAATTGCTCATAAAATTTCTGTGCAGGTTGGGTTCTCCAAGAAGCAGATTCCAGGATGGTGTTTAGCAGGCAAAAAAGGTTTATTAGGAAGCTTTCTTGAAATCTACAACTGGAAGGGAAGGAGGGAGGATAGGGGGGAGGAGATTGAGCTAGGGTATGGTCTTAATGAAAGCCTCAGCCATCCCTGCAAGGAGTCGTGGGGGGGGGGGGGAGGGGATATCTGTAGTTGGGATGAGGATTCAAAGTTGTCCTGAGGTGAGGCTGGGAGGATGGGCCTTTATACTCACGCAAGATGACTTGTAGGTCACCTCAGCAACTGTGGGCAAGGTGGCTCTCTTCAGCTGAGCCAATCCCCTTATGAGACGGACAGCTGAACTGAGCGCTTCCTGCTGGTAGCTCTCCCCCAGCTGGAGTGGTATTTCTTTCCCCAGCATCATGGCTTCCTCCACAGGTCCCTCCAGGCTCCCTGGGTCCATGCTTCCTTGGCCCTATCCATGCCATAAGAGCACTACATTAAATGGTCAAGACAGAGAGATAATCATTCATTCGAAAAAGGCCCAAGTCTCACGGCTGCCATCTGCTCTGCTTCCAAGGGACTGTTCAGAATCTGAGCAAATACCATCATAGTTAAATTCCAAAACTGCTACTCTCCATACCAACCCCAGATTCATGTTAGACCAGGAGTTAAATCATTCCTAACGCTTATCTATGATTCTCTCATATATGCCCATTTCAGTCATCCTTCAAGGGGCTATCGGGGGCAGCTTTTTGTGAAACTTAGAGCCATGTTAATTCTTATGCTACAGTGTCCACTTCAGAGTTTCCTCTAGGAATGTGGTCACTATGAGGAAACCACTCAGAAGAGAAAAGGGCCAGTCACTGGCTGAGGCTTTTGAAGACAAGAAGATAAAACAGAAATTACAAGCGGTCTTCTGGTGGAGAACGCTGGAGGCCGAATCATGAAGGGACAAATCACCCAGAAACCAATTTAGCTTGATCTTTCTACATTTAAAGAAAAAAAAAGAAGAAGAAGATTAGGCCTTGAGAGAGTAGATAACATCAAGGTAGCTATTAAACAGTACCGAGCGGCTTTAGCGTATTAATTGAACACTTTGTACTGGGACCAGTGCCTTTCCCTGAATGCAACTCTTCTGAGAAGATGGAATGCACTAGGTATACGTTTTTCCTCCCATCCCCAGAGCAGCAAGAGTTCCAATATCTTCCTTAGACACAGCTCCCACTGCCAATTCTGACTTAGAAAAAGGAAAAAAAATAATAATGCATCCCTATCATCTCCACCAAGTGTTCTCAGTGGGAATGTGTAATCTGCCCTGTTGTGGGCACCGTTCTGGTCACTGAAACATGTGCAAGTATGCAAGTGAAGGAGAAATGGTTGACCTGAAATCATTCCCTAGCTTCGCTCTGAGGCCTGAGTTCTTGCTTGTATACGTGATTTCTGGACTGATTGCCATGCCACAATTTCAATGCATTCCAAGACAATAGCAAAGCCTACAAGCTCAGACACTGCAGATAACATTTAGGCTTAAGTTACATAATAGGGCCAGAGAAACCAACATTATAAAAAAATTAAATTAGGTGGGAAAAAAATTTAGTTACAGTCAATGTCCAAGAAACGAATCAAAAGAAAGCAAACGAAATCAGAAATTTCTCCAAAAACTAAACCTCAAATATGTCCAAGTTCAGCTGAATGGCCTGTATGTTTTATACTGATGTCAAATAAGAGCTTATTTCAGAAGTATGACCCAGAGGCACTGCAAGTTCATGAACAGTTAAGGTCTTTTCCCATTCTAAAATGGCGTGACACTTCCAGAAATCCTCTAAAGCAGAAAATGTGATTAATACATTCTAAATGATTCTTAACCAAAAAGGTTAAAACAATAGCAGCTTTCTGATTAATCTTTAGACAACCAAACATTTAATCAACCAATCAACCTTACAGAACTTCTGGATTCAAACTACATTCTTAATGGTGGAGCTTATTGGAAATCTAACCACCTGATCAGTGAAATGAGAGTGTGTGTTAAGTAGCGTGGTACGTGGAAGGTTCACTGAACTCAGAGTGAGGAGGGTGAATCCAAAACGTACGGCTGCCTCTTAGAGCTCTATAACCTCGGGCAAGTCACTTAACCTCGGGGCCCCAATTTCCTAGATAATCTCCAAAATCTCTAAATCACCAACATTTGGGGATGCTGTGAAATTTCTACTTCCTTTTACTAAACTACTTTTAATTTAGAATAGTGGAATCCTTGAACAGAAAGAGTGGTGTCAAACCTGACTGCACATCAGAATCATCCTAAAGAATTTGTCAGAAATAACAACAGTTCCCTGGTCCCTTCCCAGAGACTTGGATTCAGGGGTCAAGGACAGGTCCAGCATTTGCCAGCAAAGAAAGCAAGTCCAATGTGCCCTTTCCACAGACTCCTTTGGGAATTAGAGTAGAAATCACAGTCCTTATAAAGAACCTACAAACCCCTACCTGATACGGCCCCTGCCTGGCCTTTCTCAGCCCTCTTCCCTCTTGCCCTCGCTCTCTCTGTGTCAGCTGCACTGGCCTCCTTGCTGCTTCTCCAGGAGACCTAATATTATTAGCCAGGAGCTCTTCCCTCTGACTGTTACTCTATTCCATCAAATATCACATGGCTTACTTCCTCACTTCCCTTAAGTCTCTGCTCAAATGCCGCCTACACAATAACTCCTGTTTAAAATCACAAACCACTTCCCTCCATTGTCTCTCCATCACTCCTGATTCCCCTCAGCCTGCTCTATTTTTCTTTCTTCGTGGCACTTATCACCTTCCAGCTTATTATATAATTAGCTCATTTATTATTATGCTGATTGTCTATCTTCTCCCACTAGAACATAGGCCCTACTAGAGCAGGAAGCTTTTGTTTCTTATGCACTAAAGGATCCCAAATTCCTAGAACAGTGCCTAGCACACAGTAGGTGCTCAAATATTTGTTGAATAAATGAGTGAATTTTTTCTATTTCTTCCTCTTTTGCCTTTCTCTTAACTGTTATGACTCAAAATTGGGTATTTTTTTTCTTTTAATGAGTAGAATTTGATGTTCTATGCTCTTAGTTTTTAAAGTCAGTTTGATCTGATAATCCTCCATTTGGTAATATACATCAGAAAAAGCCAATGGAATAAAATAATAATTTATACAAAAATGTTTGTAACAGTCTTTGCAATAATGAAACTGGAGATAATACAAACATCAAAGACTTACTAACATATTAGAATACCACTACTTAAAAGTACATAATGAAATAATGTTAGGTGGGGCACCTGGGTGGCTCAGTCTGTTAAGCGTCTGCCTTCGGCTCAGGTCATGACCCCAGGGTCCTGGGATCAAGCCCCGCATCCGGCTCCCTGCTGGGCAGGGAGTCTGCTTCTCCCTCTCCCTCTGCCTGCCGCTCCCCCTGCTTGTGCTCACTCTCTATCTCT